ATTGTTGTAGGAAAAAGTAATGTTTATTATATTAAATATATACAAAATATGCATTCTTCATAGTAAAATATTTCTTAAGGCTCATATTATATGTTATGTAAATAATAAGAATTTGCTTTAAAACTTTTATTTCAATTCTTGTTTTGAATAACGAAGATATTGATATTTTGAAATTATTGTTGTAGGAAAAAGTAATGTTTATTATGTTAAATATATACAAAAAATGTATTCTTCATAGTAAAATATTAGTTGAGGGTCATATTATATGTTATGTTAATAAATAGGAAATGTAAACTTTTATTAAAATTCTTGTTTTGAATAACGAAGATACTGATATTTTGAAATTATTGTTGTAGGAAAAAGTAATGCTTATTATATTAAATATATACAAAAAATGCATTATTCATAGTAAAATACTTAAGGCTCATATTATATATTATTTAAATAATAGGAATTGTTTTTAAAACTTTTATTTCAATTCTTGTTTTGAATAACGAAGACAATGATATTTTAAAATTATTGTTGTAGGAAAAAGTAATGTTTATTATATTAAATAAATACAAAAAACGTATTCTTCATAGTAAAATATTAGATGAGGGTCATATTTTATGCGATGTAAATAAATAGGAATTACTTTTAAAACTTTTATTTCAAAAAAAAATTTCACAAAAAATTCAGCAATTATAATCAAAATTTTAAAATTCCGTTAGCTGATTTTATAAAACGAAATTAAAACAGAACCTAAAAAAGCTTTATTTATATAAGTTTCTGTAAAATTAATCCTTATGTATTAAAAACTTTTTAAAAAATATAAATAATTTCATTTTAATAAATATCTCACTACTTTAAATTGTGGTAAAACGGGTCCATTAAATAGGCTGTTAAATTCATATACTAGTTACTATGAAGTGTTTTTTTCTGTACCTCTTCTTAAAGTGCTTTTTCATCCACAGTCAAACCAACTGGGTGGGCTTAAATAATTATTAATTAATATCAATTTGTATAGTTATAGTCGTTTCTATGATATAATTCATTTCATATTCATAAATAATTCATGATTTAAGAACTATTCGACCAATTGTGTTTATAATTAATGATTTAAAATCAATGTTTAAAATGATTTTTGTCAATTTGATATTCCTAAATTCCTTAAAATTTCATTTTAATACCTTCCCTCATTTAGTTTTTAAATTGATCTCTACCTACTAGTATAAAGAGTTTTAATTGTATTTTAACTGTTTTGGTCTAGAGATGTTTCAGTATTTTAACAGGTTTAGTCAATATCTATGAAGAAGTGTGCATACATGAGTGCAAATGACTATTCAATTTTTATTTTATTAAAAATAAGTAAAAGGGACTCATGTATGCACACTTGTTCATGTATGCACACTTGTGCATTTTGTAAAATTATGGGTATTGAGACCCCTTAAGCTATGCTGTTGAACGGCATGCACGATTCTGATAATATTTTTATTGTTTTAGTATACGTCTGGTTAGTGAGGCCATCCGTAGTCCGCGTTCTTCTAGCTCAGACAAAACGCCCTCTAAAAAGGTGAGTTCCATTTTCTAAATTATAATCAATTACTTTCTGTCAACCATCTTTTTTCTTCTTCTTTTTTTTTGTATTTATATATTTGCAATCCCTCAAACAATAGTACCCAACTTTCATTGTTTTTTTATTCCCTACACCAAAAAATAATATCATATATATTTAATAGCTATTCAGATTTTGATTATTTTAACTCCAAACTGTTTTAGGGTTGCTCCGCCCATTTGATATTCATATGTCTAGCTTTTTACGTTTGCTGATACTCTTTTTAAAGTGCAGGTCATAAAATAGGGACATCCACTCATACTTTTGATTTATTAGTAGTTAATTCAATTTACATATATTACGATACAATTTTATGCTTACCGATTCCTTGTTAAAAATAATTCTTACTATCTGTCAACCCTATTTTTTTAAAGAATCAAAATGCATTCTGGGTTATCTGAGACCTGGAGGAACTTTAATTAAGACAATTTTTAAGTAATCTCGTAAGCACAAGAAGTTCTGCTGTAACTCTTTCGGTTAAAATAATCAAAAACTATTAAAATTCCCATAATTATTTTGCTTTATGGAGCAGAAATAAAATTATTTAAGCTGAACATTAAAAATATCTTACTTGTGGATAAACTATCTAAATACAACAAGTAAATAAGTAACAAGTAAATTAAAAAAAAAAAAAAAAAAAAAAAAAAAANAAATAAATAAAAAAAAAAAAAAAACAAAAACAATTTTTACATAAAAATCTCTTGCTTTATTATAGGGGTGCACAACCTTTTTGAGTGAAGGGCAACTTGCACAGCAGGCTGGCTAACGAAGGGCCGCAGATCTATTTAGACATGTTAATGACAAATGTAATAATGTTTATTTAAACATTAGCGTTCCATTTTTTTTATCAATAAACTTAGTAATATCAATAACTTAGTAGTGTTCCACTATTAGAATTTATTCAAAAATAAAAAAAACTTATACTTTTTTTTTACAAAAAAAAAAACTTGCTATTTTTATCATATGAACAATAGTTTTATCGAAATAAATAAACATTGACGAAAAGAAATGTTTTTTTTTTTTTATCATATCGTGCAATACAAAAATTCATTTTAGAATTAAATTCCAATAAATAAAAAAAAACTGCAATGCCCACAGAATGAAAGTAGGAAAAAGTTTAGTCATATTTAAGTAATATAAATTCAAATTAAATATTTTAATTGAAGAAAATTTATAGGTTTTAAACAAAAGCCTAAAATAAAAACAAAACTGTGATAGTTCAAAATAAAATTCAATGCTTATTTTGTAATGTACTTTATTATTTTATTTTATTAATTATTAGATTTTTTATATCGTAAACATTTTCCTTTTTTTTATCGAAAAAGATCACTTAAGCAACAAAAAATTGAAATCTAAACTACAAACAGTGAGCAGTTTAAAAATTCACGTTTTCCGCCATTTTATGAATTTCTCAAGTTGCAATAACATTGCATTTAAATTAGGGAGGGATGTAACGAGTATTTGGCCCTTCTGTGAAAAATTCAGTTGGTTGAATGATCAGTCAAATATTCGGCAGAATATTTTTTAGAAATGTATTTTTCTAAGTTTTTTTTATTTTTGAATTTTTATAGATATTACTTTTTTTTAAAAATTATAATCAGACAAGTCAATTTTGTCATTTTTTCAATACTTTGAGAATTGAGTTTATTATCACTCTTTCCCTGTACTGTAATATAAATAACCAGTAACATAGAAAAGTTTGATTTTCAGTATTAAAGTTTTGTTTCAGGAACTAAGAAAAATTTGTTTTTTCTGTTTTTCTTTTTTAAGGCATTTTTATTATGACTCAGCATTTTTTTAAAAAATAAAGTTACTAATAAAATTTATTTTATAGCAATTTTTTTTCTGCTGAAATTATGGCAATGAGAAAAATTTGAATTGAGATTTTCGGCATAAGATTTTCATTTAAAAAATTAAGAACGCTTTTTTTCTATCTTTTTATTTTTTTTAAATTAAAAAAACCTTTTTTTAGACGTTTTCATTATAACGTAGTAATTTTTAATAGCATTTCTTTCTTAATTCTATTTTCTTGGCTTTTTCTGGTAATTGAAAAACTAAGATGTTCAGCTTTAAAATTTTTTTTCAAAAATTAAGATTGATTTTTATGTTCTCTGTTTCGCTTTTCGACATTTTCAAAATCGTTCTTAATTGGCCTAATTTTTTAGAGTTAATTTATGAATACGTTTTTCCAGAAAATATTATTCTGAGCATTGAAATTTTAGTTTCAGTGTTGCTATGCTGCTAAAAGATTTTGCTATTTGGTCCCAAGTGTACTGCTTTCAGTCAATTTTTTCTTCTTTTTTTTTACCGAATATTTGATTTTTGATCAAATCACAATTCATACATTCGACCAAATCATATTCGTTGCGGAAATAAAAACAGAGGAAAAATAACTAGGGTTTAAGATAAAACTGTGCCGAAATACCGTATCAAAAATGGATTATTTAATGGCGCGATTAACAATCACGTGTCGTAATAACATCATAGTTAAATAACGGGATCGTCAAAATAATGTGGAAAAGCATAGAAATAAAAAATATATTTATGCTGCACTCAGCCCGAATAAAGCGTTTCAAATGCATGATTCAAAATTTGTTTGTCGTAATAGAACTATTGGAATTTTTTAAAATACGTGGGAAAGCATAGCAATAACTGTCGAAAAAAATTGTAGAAAAGAAAGAAAGAATTGCAAAAAAAAAGATAAAAAATCACTTATATTTAAGATGAAATCGTCACAAATAAAGTGCACAAAAAGTGATTACTTAAATTTGCGATCTGAAACTCGCGTCGTAATAAAAATCCGGAATTTTCGAAATCACGTAGAAAAGCGAAATAACTGTTTAAAAAAATTATTTATATTTACGATAAAATCGGCTTAAAGAAAGTGCGTTAAACGTACATTTACTAAAGAATCTGTTAAAATTGATTGTGTCAAAACGTGATGACTTAAAAATTGCGATTAAAAATTGCCATTTTTAAATTTTTTTTTATTGTGTTTAGAAGCTCTCGCGGGCCGTACTTTAGTAGTCGAAGGGCCGCATTTGGCCCGCGGGCCGCAGGTTGTGCACCCCTACTTTATTAAGATGTTAATTGTTTTGACTTCTGTTTGATTTCATTTCTATTGAGCAAACAACATTGCATGAGATGCAATGTTTCATTTTTCTAAATAGCAATATTAGATGCTTTATAAGAGCAAAATTGTACTTTTTGTAAAAAANAAAAAAAAAAAAAAAAAAAAAAAAAAAAAAAAAAAAAAAAAAAAAGCAGTACAAGGGTTTTACTTAGTTTCCACAGGTAAGATATTTTTAATGTTCAGCTTAAATCATTTTATTTCTGCGCCATAAAGCAATATAATTATGGGAATTTTAATAGTTTTTGATTATTTTAACCGAAAGAGTTACTGCAGAACTTCTTGTGTTTACGAGATTACTTAAAAATTGTCTTAATTAAAGTTCCTCCAGGTCTCAAAGGATGACTAGGCTTGAGGCCTTTCAATTTAAGGGATCTAAAAGTACTGCTGAGAGAATAAAAAGGAATGAATTAAAAACTGAAGCTCTTCATTTTTGTGTTAGCTCGGGCCAGAAAGGCTTTTTTTTTTCTAAAATTGTTATTACGAAAATATCTTGAATTTGAATTTTCTAGGCAACAGATTTGTTTTTAGTTGTTTTTTTTGCCAGAAACCAAAGATTGTTTTTATCCTCTTTAAAAATGAAATTTGAATTGATTTATAAATAATAAATAATTTCTTATCTCACAAACTTAAGAACAAAGAAGAGAGATGAAATTTAAAAAGCGAAAATTAAAAAAAAATACAAATTGTAAAAATGTACTTTTTTTAATCTCATTTCATTGGAGCATTTTATTTGCTATTATCTTTTAATGGGGCACAACTCAAAGAGAGTTTTTCCCTACAATAAATATGGTAGGCGTAACTAGATTGTGAGAGTTACAATTTTGTTTAAAAATTTTCTGTTTCTGAAGTTTATTTTTCTGATAGAATTGTATGTTTATGTATCTGACGTTCATTGCTTGAAAAAGTTGTACGTTTTTTAGCAGACGAATGGATCTAATTTAGTTCATCATGGTTCGAATATCAGCACTCCATCTTCTGCTGTCTCACCTCGACTTGCGCCACCTCCTCCAAGACGTCCTAGACGTAAGATATTTATTTAATTTTAAAGACCTTCTCCTTCACAAATTTTTCCTTTTAGTTTATATATATAATATATAACGTCGTTGCCGAGTGAAAGGATTAAAACAGGTCTTAGGCCGGGATGGAGGGTGCAAAATTTATTTATTAATTATTAGACAGAGCAGTCATGAGAGTGTGTACAAAAAGTTGTGTACCTCAGTTATATGTTAGGGAAAATCTTGCAAAGTAAAATCCGTAAATGTCTCTATTTAGGGAAAAGAGGGAAATCTCAGAAATTACTATTGGTTTATGAAATAGGTCCAGTGATTCCCACGGAAGATTAAAGGGGAAAATGTCCTGCTTTTAATTAATGCATAGTTGAGCCAAAAATAGATTTAAGGACAGTATGTGGCTTTTAAAAGTGTGAGAAAGTATTTCGATTAGAATAATTAATTAGGATAACATAAAAAAGATTAATAGAAGCTTTTTATGTTACATACCCCCTCGCCAAAAATGTTTAATTACAATCCAAAAATTTTGAAAATTATTTTTTATTTGCAAAATCTTCCCTATGGTAGAAATACAATTAAAATGAAAAGAATTAAATTGGTAATTTTAACAATATATAAAGGTAATATGAATTATAAAAAATTTACGTATGTACTCATGGTAAAAATTTCAACACACTTAATCTGTAGTAGCATTATCAGCAAATTTTAGATTTTCATTTTCAATAGTTTTTCAGTTACGAGTCTTTTGTTTGAAGATCACAGCAAAGTTATTCTCCATGAAGTATTCCTCATAATATCACGAAGTTATCTTTTCAATCAAGACCATAAAAATTTCTAAGCATTTTTAAAAATGTGTAAGTTAAAATGTAAAATATAAACTACAAAAAATAGTTTTACAGGAAAAATTTCAATCTGAAATTATTTTCAGTGTTATTTGTTTACCTTATTTGAAAACAAAATAAAATAAAAATGACACAGTGGTTGTTATTCTGAAGTCCAAGATTTCAGTATTGACTTCATTTCACTTTATTTATTATTTACCTTACATATTTATCACTTTAATAGCAATATATTTGAAAATTTCCTGAAGTTAGGAATTTATTTATTATCTTGGATTTGCACAGTTCTGTCAACATAATTTTGAGAACATTACGCAGAATTATCACATTTAGTCTCAAGAATATTTAAAAATTCAAGATTATTTTCAGTTTTGCCATTTAAATCTTTGTTTTTAAGTCTATTTTTTGTCTTATTTTTCTTTAAACTTACTTTGTTTACATTCTTGTTATTCTCATTTATTTATTTTGTGTCCAAAATTTTCTTTTCTCTATATTTTTCTTTTTACTTTCTATATTTTTTTATACTTTTATTTTCTTTCTTGATATTTTTATTGCAATCATTAACCCGGATTTCAGGAAAAATGTGTAAGGACATATTGCTTTTATAATCAGAAAAGGTGATCAGTCTTCTCAGATTTTACATTACAACCCGTTTAACACAATTTATCACTAATTGAAATCCAAAACAAGCTTTCAAATTTAATATCGTAATAAGGAAAATCAGTTTTTAATTTTTGACTGATCTAGCTATTTTTCTTATTTTTAATCTGAAATGCAAGTTTGGTGATGTTGCAAATTACCTTTTGTTTGTTTGCATTTTTCTTTCTTTTTGGACATAATTTTTTTCTCTTTCTTTTTCAAAAATTTCAGTTCAGATATTTTTTAAAGTGATTTTTGTGCAGAGATCTTAAATAGTTATTTAATTTGTCACAATCGTGTGTTAGGAAATTCTAATATTTTCATTTCTATTTTAAACATGTTTTTGAAGTGCATTTGGTTACTATTTCCTTTTCAATTTTTGTTTGGTCACTTTATCTTTATGTTGGGATTCACTCTCAGCAATAAGAAACTTTGTTTGTTAATGGAAATTACTGAGCTAGAACTGAACTATGAACTAATTACCAACATTGAACTCAATTCAAATTCTAAAAACAAGTATTTTACTCATTTTCCAAATTATTTGTATTAATTTTAGCACTTCTTGATTTAATTTCTGCCACACCGCAATTGCATTCATATATTAAAATTGAATTTCAATAATTATTGTAGTTGCATTAAGAAGAGAAAAAATTTTTTAATGGCATTTTCATCTTAACCCTAAACACTAGTAAAACAGGAATATAAATTCTACTAATCAATAATTCATGGAAACTGTAACACATAAAACAATCAATTCACTGAAAATAAAAATTTAAAGAAATTAAAATTTCAACAGTAAATACGATCCATGTATAAAAATTGTTTCAATTGAAACATCAAGTATGAGAAAGAATTAAAATCATAATCTATGATGTTTGTTCATTTACATGAGTGCTTTTTTCTTTATTAATCAATAAAAATTCACGAAATTGTTTTATGAGAATTGTAAAAAAAATTACCTTAAAAGGGATATGTGAGAAAGTTCGAATTAGTTCAAGAACACATCTTGAAAACCACAACATCAGATGAAATTTGATTAATAATTTCTTCTCTAAGAGGAATCACATTTCTTCTTGAATGACGCAGGGTGAGAACAATTTATTGACTATAAAATGCAGAGCAGCTCCGTAAGTCACTTGTAGAGGTAAGAGCTGGGATTTTAAATCATGAACTTTTTAACGTCTATCAGGAGTTCGATGTAGTTTTTCTTTTTAGTCCAAGGGGGGTGAATAATATTGAAGCTTAGCTCTCTAGTAGTATTGTATTCATTGTCTTCAGAACGTAGACATAACATGCAGCATACACAAAAGGAAAGTCGATGATCGTTAAATTCCATTGAGCGTAGGTATCATTTATAAAAAACAAAAAAGTTTGATGATTAAAGAATCTATTTTTTATTGAAGATACTGGATTAATTATGAATTGCCTAGAGTTGAAGAAGAATTTGACTGATAATTTTCCACTGTTCATTTGAATGAGATATTCCATATTTTTGATGTACCCTCTTCCGAAGTTGATTTATATTCAAAATTTAAGATGACTATTTTAATGAGATATTACATATCGTTGATGTACCGTACCCCTTTCCTGACTGTTTAATCCTGTCGACTTATAACGTCGTTGCCGAGTGGAAGGATTTAAACAAGTCTTAGGCCGGGAAGAAGGGTACAAAATTTATTTATTAATTATTAGACAGAGCAGTCATGAGAGTGTATACGAAAAGTTGTGTTCCTCGGTTATATGTTAGGGAAAATCTTGCAAAGTAAAATCCGTAAATGTCTCTATTTAAGGAAAAGAGGGAAATCTTAGAAGTTACTGTTGGTTTATGAAATAGGTCGAGCGGTTCCCACGGAAGGTTAAAGAGGAAAATGTCCTGCTTCTAATTAATGCATAGTTGAGCAAAAAATAGATTTAAGAACAGGATGTGGCTTTTAAAAGTGAGAAAGTATTTTGATTAGAATAATTAAATAGGATAACATAAAAAGATTAATAGAAGCTTTTTATGTTACACACATATCTATATATACAGTCAAACCCCGCTATAGTGAACTCCCAGCTATAGTGAACGAAATGTTCGGTCCCGTGCCTTGCTATACACATATAATGTTATTTTTTGTGGATATAGCGAACCAAAAAAGTGAGGAAATTGAATATAATGAACTTTTTTTCTGTCTTCGACTGATTTTTTTTTCTTAATTTTTAATTTTCTTAATTTAAATTTGATGTTAAAGAAGCATTACTGAAGTGGTTCAACATTCGAAGAAGCCGCCAGTACAAATGTCGATAAATTTGTTAAGCGATTTTATGAGACTACTTTTATGTGCTCGAATGGCAGGTTAGACAGGTTTAAACAGCGGAATAACAGAAATTTAGGAAAAATTATCTGAGAATCGATAAAGTTCTTCAATGTCTGATGTTGAGGATTGCTAAAGATTAAAAAAAAATTTTTTGTACGCAGGACGAAGAGTAATAAAAAGTAACACATTTTTGCTACTACATAATATTTTTCAGTCATTTATCTGAATAATGTGTAATAAAATGGAGGAGTTTGGGAACGATTAGTTAAATTGTCCGCATAACGGATATAGTGAATTTCAGGTTGTAGTGAACCGAGATTTTGGTCCCTTGAAGGTTCACTGTAGTGGGGTTTGACTGTATATATATATATATATATATATATATTATAAAGAATAACTCAATTTGTAGAATTTTTTTTTATATGCTATTATATTTTTACTTTTATTTGTTAATTTTTTGTTTTTATTTGTTATTTTTATAAATTTTTTGTCACCTCCTGACTTACCTTAAATAGATTTTTGATACAATGATTCGATTTTTTTCCTCTTGAACTAGGTGCTAAACTAAAAGATTAAAAAAAGATTAAGTATTTTCTCTTAAGCAACTACCAGGCCTTATTTTTAATTATTTAGAGTTTTTGACCATCAAAATAGTGAGATTCAGAGAAAAGGCAAAAAGGGAGAATGATTAAACTTTTTCCCTAAGTGGGTACAGAACTGTTTTATTCTTACTGTAGTAGTATTAGAGGTGCCCAAGGTGGTGTTGGCATGAAAATGTCATGTCAGATATGTTACCTTGTTACTTATTGTTTAATTAAATTTATTGTTTAATATTACTCACCCATTTAATTATTTATTATATCAAAACCCTTACTCACAATTTAAAATTCCTTCTAAAATATTAACAAAAATGATAAAATTCGTTTCTTTAATGTAAACCTTTAATATTCCTTAATAATTCATCCTTAATAAGGTTTGAAAATACAAAATTGTAAACTATACTAATAAGAAATCTTTTTACAGAGCCTAGGAGAAAGCAGTTGGACCTGTTGCAGGATTTCTCTTTCTTAGCAAACCTGCCGCAGACACAGGACGATGTTCGTCCAGTGTCTAAGAGGCTGCGAGCTAAACCCTTTGTGTCTTACGGCGAATCAAGATTGCGCAAGCTCCGCCGCCGGAACAGGTAAGTTCTATTTTTATTTATTTTCCTACTACTAATAGCGCAGGTAAACTTTTTTTTCAATTCGGATGAGGGTGCTGAATCGAAAAATAAATTTGATTCCATGAATTACTAACATTTTAATTACTCAGATTACTTACCTTTTGAGTGTGCACTTGGAGATTCTACCACACTTAGTTCATTGACCTCACAACTTATCAGTTCTTTCCGGTAAAATACTTTTTCTTATTATTTTTATTTTTTTAAAAATTTTTATTCAATTTTTTCAATACACATGGCTCCACCTAATGAAAGAATGAGAAACTAAAATCTTAGAAAATGAAAATATTCAAAGCTCCTTTGTTTGTTGCTCCTACTGACATCTAGTGAATAAAATAGTTACCTTGCTATAAATAAAGAGATGTTGATATATTGTGTTAAGTGTAAGAGCAAGACAGAAACATTGGAACCAAAGTCAGCTATAACAAAAAACAATAAAACTAGGAAGAAAGGTGTTCAATGTGTGGAAAACAAAAAAAATCAATATGTAAAAGCATCTGAAGTTGGTTTAATTACAAACGATAATGAGGTTGAAAGTGTTCAAATGGAAGATTAAGAAATAGTCTGTGCAGAAGATTAAATATGAGCATTATATGACAACTTAAAAAAAATCACAATTGTAAAATAATGTCAACTCTTACAACCTGAAATTTAAATTCAAAATTTATTTCAGCATTTAAAGGTTGATTAAAATCAGATCTGAAAAAATACTAAGATTTAATTTTTTTAATTTGATTTAGCAAATTAGTTTTAAAAAAATGAACAAATGCAATGTTCATGGGTTTCTAAATATTTTCCAAGACTACAAATAATAATAATAACTTTTTTTAACTAAATAAAAATAATTTTAAAACATGCCTGTAGGATGAAACAGTCCGGAAGACATGTATTTTCCTATTAATTACATATTACACTTGTTATTTAAAGTGATCTGATTAGAATTCAATAACGAAAGCTAAAATCTTGTACTTGATGAATTAAAAAAATCATATTGTTAATCGAAAAATAAAGAATGGAAATTCTGTTTGAAGGTCCCTGGATTCCATACGTAGATCATTTCATCACCGATCAAATTTTTCTTACATATCCAAAAAAACTTCATTTACACTTCACAATTTTTGTATAATCATTGGAAATTTGTCGACAACTTGTATAAAAAATTTCCGTATGCTGAATAGTTTAATCCACCTTTGCTCTATACCATCGGTTGGAAAACGACAACCTTTGACTCAAACGGTCATTTGACAATTGCACCAGAACCCATTCAAAACCTAATAAATTTGGATAAAAGACTCCACTATTAAAAGGCTTATTCGTTTATTATTTTTTTTACAAATTCCCTTATCTATTTTCTTACTTGTATTGTAATAAATTTTAACGTAAAAAGAAACGAGAGATCATTGGCAAAAGGTTTAGCCATTAGACCCCATAAAAATGGATATTTACTAATATGAAAGCAGTTTAAAAAAACAGCATTGGTTTCAAGCTCCAGAAAGTCATAATAATGTTGTTCAGAAACTCAGAAAAACCAAACATGATGAACGAAAAATTTATTCAAGTGAGCTTTCTAAACATGATATTCGAACCTAATTTTTATACAATAATTTTGATATATATATCAAGTTTCCATTCCGATTCAGTCTTCAATCTCTTTTCCAAGTGTCAATGTTTTTCTCTCATTTTCAAATACTCTTTTCATTCCATTGTTTTCATGATGTCTCGGTGCTTATAAAAAATGGTAGAAAAAATATTAGCGTGAATATTTTCGTTATAAACGGTCATTTTATAAATCGATGCATGAAACAGCCATAGATTGATTGGAGAGTCTGGATATTTCCTAGAGTTGTGGCAGTAAGTCAAAAAGTGTTTGACAAAAGAATTTTTCCCCCCACCTTCTTCAGGCAAGACACATTCTTTCCAGTGATGGGACACTGGATGAGATGGTGACCGGTCTTGAGATGAATGATGATGTGATTCATTTCTTCTAGATCTTGTTTGTAGCGATTCTCTTCGTCCACCTCTTTTTTCATTCGATATTCGCATTTGACATTTTCATAGAGTTTCTCAAAGATTGCATACTTCTCGGAAAGCTGAAAAATTTTCAGAGTCTTCAAATCTAAACTCATGTTTGTGAAAATTGCAACACCATGAAGGTATTGTCATAATTAAATGAAATTTAATTCACAGTTGAGTGGTAATGGTACAAATAAATTATTAAACTTTCAAAGCAAACAATAATAACGAGAGATCGAGATCAGTAATTTATGTAGCCACCACGGGACGCAATAAGTGCTGCTACACGACGTGGCATGGAGTCGAGCAATTTTTGAATGTCTGTCTGAGGAAGAGCATTCCATATTGTTTGTATTCGTACTCAAAGTTCGTCTGTAGAAGCAACAGGACGAGGATCACGAGCGAGACGCCGACCAACGGAATCCCCCACATGTTCAATCGGCGACATAACCGGGGAATACGCAGGTCAAGGAAGAAACTGTACCTGCCGCGATGCAAGGAAGGATTTAACAGTTCTAGCAATATGAGGATGGGCATTGTCCTGTTGAAATATAGCGCCTGGCAAGGATTGAAGGAAGGGAACAGCTTGGGACTGTATAATTTCACTGATGTACTGGTTGCTGTTCAGATTACTCACAATTCGTAGCAATTGAGATCGTCCATGATATGCCAAGACACCCCAGACCATAACTCTGGGTGTTCGTCCACTGTGGAGATCGATAATGCACTCCGGAAGTTGGCGTTCGCCGGCATAGCATCTGACAGGAATGCGGCCATCATGGTACCACAAATTAAAGCAGGATTCGTCAGAAAGCACGACGTGCTGCCAATCAGCACGCCAGTCCCTATGCTGATTGGCCCATTGTAGCCGCAGGCATTAGTTGGCGTGAGGGGGATCTTGTATAAAGGAGTCCTTGCGGGCAGCCCACACCGCAGCAGACGTCTACGAATTGATGAAGCACACAATGAAACACCTGTAGGTATTGACCACTGTGCTGCCAGTTGTCTAAAGAGAGCCGTACGGTCTGTCATCGCCATGTGGACCAGGTGTCTATCATCGCGAGCTGACGTGACATTTTGGGGTTCACTTCCGGTTTTCCGACACTCGTCCGTCCACTGCTTCCAAACACACAACACTGTGCTGCTGTTGCGCTGCACACGAGCGGCTACTGCATGATAAGACAATCCAGCTTCACGAAGGGCGATGATTCTCCCATGATACGTATGTGCAATGGGTCTAAAATCCTAATCATTTGCATGTCATGCTCTACTTTGCAAGTCCTTCACCACTTCCGAGTCTGAACTGCCTCAAGTAACAGTAGCGAGATATGCACTCTCCTTCTAAAAAGAAACAATACAACCTTTAATAAATTTATAATGCTGATATTGAACCTATACTTGTTCTTCAACTTCTAAATGTTCAGTTTTAGATCTTTCAATTTTAGGTCTTTCAAGCTTGACTCTTTCCTGTATCTTATACAGTCAACACCGCTTAAAGGAATATTATCGGTTCCAGCGAAATCTATGCAATTCAGCGGGTTATTCGATTAGAAGGGGAGAGCAATATTCAATCTTAAATTCTCAATTTTTGAGAAATTTTACTTTTTAATGGTATTTAATGCATAGTACAGCGCTTTGATCAAATAAACTCAGTTTTATGTGCAATAAACAATTATAATTAAAACTGTGTGTTAGTATCATCAAATATAAATGTAATTTGAAGTTACATAAAAATAAATCAATGTTAGTGAAAAGTAAAATATAGGTACTNATTCGATTAGAAGGGGAGAGCAATATTCAATCTTAAATTCTCAATTTTTGAGAAATTTTACTTTTTAATGGTATTTGATGCATAGTACAGCGCTTTGATCAAATGAACTCAGTTTTATGTGCAATAAACAATTATAATTAAAACTGTCTGTGTTAGTATCATAAAATATAAATGTAATTTAAAGTTACATAAAAATAAATCAATGTTAGTGAAAAGTAAAATATAGGTACTAAAATATTATTTGATCCCTTCTTAAAAAGTCTATAATTGAAGACTTTTTATACCTGTTTAATTCATCAACTTATCAAAATTAGATTTTCTCTTTCAGTTTCTACTAAGACTTTCATAACTTGCGTATTCGTTTAAAATATATTCAGAATTTTTGTTTTTTGCTTGAGAACGCCTAAATATATTCAATTTGGTTTAAAGACACTATTTAGCAAAAAAGATATTCAAAATGAAATTATTTCAAGGTTTCCCAACAAGAGACTCAAATATTTGTATTTTGTATAAAATGTTATTTTATTTATATTTAAATAAGTGATTATAAAATTTTTATACGTTATTTATTAACTTCGTTAAATTTTTTTTTATTTTATCTGTTAATACGCTAGTGCCCATTCAACAAAATTTAACATGGGAGAGTTGTTAAATTCTTCTTTAAAATATATTCATTTTTGCTTTGCCACTGGGTCATATTGAAGCATTTTGAAGACATTGATACATTTTCCTATTAGTTTTGCAATTTATTCTCTCAATATCAACATTTTACTATAAAATGTTTACTGCGATGCGAGCACAATCCATCATATAGTATTATCCAAACATGAAAACATCGGTAATGAACTTCAAAAGGATAACATTTCCAATTCACACTGACAACAAAGGAAACACGCTCTCTTCATTGGATGGATAAAAAAAATAATAATAATAGTTTTTTTTAAAAAATTTTTAAGTTACATTATTAAATATTTATTCGAATTTTTTACTACCAAGTCGGATGAGGAGGTTTAATATTCAATGTCCCAAACTAAGATGTTAAATTTCCTGATTTTTATTGTATAACCAAAACTTATCAAAGTTTGAAAAAATTTAATAAAACTTTTTTTTTTAAAAACTGAGAACTATTTTTAAAAATGTTTTGAAAAATTATAAATCTTTAATTTGTTATTACATGAGGAATTCAACCCAAAGACAAATATATAATCTTGTAGCAGAACTGAAATGGAGATCTAAATTAGAAGGACATTTTTATTGTATACTCAGAAACTCTTGAATAACTTTCCAAAGTCTGGAAAGAATTAATAAACTTCATGAAAGAAAAACAACTTTTTTTAAAACTAATTTGCTAGATTCAATAAAATCTAAACAGTAGCATTTTTTTTCAAATTTTAAATTGCATTTTTAAATGAATTCTCTTTAATGATTTGATTTACTGAATCAATATGAAAAAGTGGGCCATTTTGAATGGTAATAGATTTAAATTTTAAAAGTATTTGTAGATGAAAATGTTTTTATAAAAGAAATGTAAATTTAATTTAAAAAAGTTTTAAATTTTTTTTAAGTTGTCGTTAGAAACTGTTTATAAATGACTATTTTTTGAATGATTAACTGATTGTCTTATAAACTATATTAATTTAATAAATATCTCTTTCTTCAAAGCATTTGCATTATTGATGATGCAATTAAAATTTCTTTCACTTTTTCGTTGTTATTTTTTTTATCTTAATTTATTAATTTTATCTTTTTTCTGATAAGTAATTATTATTATGATTTATCTGAATTATTTATTAGTTACATTTCATTATGTGAATACTTATATAAATTTCTTACTGCAAAACCAAAAAAAAGCTTCAAGAAGAATAAGGGGAAGAAAAAATAATCAAAAAAATTTTCCAATCTTTTTTTAATTTTATTATTATTTAAGTTATATTATTTCAATTTTGTAAAGGTTTGAAAAATTTAAAAATTAAGTTTTGTAAAATACAAAATTCAATTCTATAAATATTTATTTAAACCTTGTCTACAACTAGGTATAACTCATTCACCAGGAGTTGGCACTTGGCTCCGCTTTCTTATGTTGTATGCAACATTACTATTTCACTCTTTTTGGGAGAAGGTTGTGAGAAATCCTGAGCAAGGTTGCTATTTGGCGATCGTATGGCCAAAATATTTATTTCGCAAACTTTATGTGGATTTTTTAAACATTAAATATTTCATAAATTTGATGGTATTTTGTGCCATTTTTTAGGATATTTCTCTCTTTCGAGAGAATAGTTTGTCCTTTTTCTGACATTTTGCTGGGAAACAGCAGTTTTTAAATTTAAAATATATTTAATTAACTAGAAAAAGGAAAGGTATAATAGCAGATGATAAAGCGAAGTGACTAAAAAAGAATTCATTGTTTGTGTTCGGCGCACATTAAGGGTTGTCTCGATTTCAAGTGCGGAGATGCTTCTCTTCTTACTCCCACGCTGAAATGAACTCTGCGTCCGAGGGGATGGAGCCAGTGCCAAAATCTGGTGAACGAACTATCAATACCCACCCACCTTTGTTATTCATGTTTTTATTTTACTGTACCTTTAAGTTAATTATTTTATTAAGAATTCAGTATATTATAACATAACACTAAATTGAATGCACTTTTTTTAAAAAATTCTTTTAAAATAATATAATAAAGATATTTATTGAATCATAATTATTTTTTGTAATTTCAGAACCTAATTATGAAGTTAAAGGAAAACATTTAAAAAATAAAATTGCACAATTTGAAGAAAGAAAATTGGGAAATCAGAATTTTTGTAATATTTTAAATTTTCATATATATATTTTTTTATACATTTTGCATCATACCTATTTTAGTATTCACTTTATTTGTAAATATTTTTGAAGCACTGTACTAAATGAAAATTGCATTTTTTATGCTAATCAAATATTTTAACATTTGTTATTCATATAATACAAAGATATTTCTCATTCTTATATTGTACAAACTGCAAAAAAAAAGTTCCATTTGTTAATAAGTATAGTACAATTTTTGTAATTTATATCTATATCATATTAATGTAGAGTATACTGAATTATTATTGTTGAATATATGACTATAAATGAAATTTTCATTTGCCATGTCTTGAGATATATTTAATTAATGTGTAAGTTAATCAAGCACTTATAATTAAAGTAAAAGAAATTTCAATATCTAGCAAACTTTTTGTACCTTTCCTTGAAAAATGATTGTTTTCAATATTGTAATTTTAATTCTAATACTTGTTATATTATCATTATTATTTTATAAGATTACCATTCTTTGTTACAATTATATTTCATCGAAATTAACAATAAACTTGCTGGATAATAATTGAGCTAATAAAATTAGCTTAGACTTCAAAAATGAATAAATTTAAAGAAATTTTATATTTCAATTTTAGAGTGTAATTATAGATAATTGTTTCAGAACATTTAAAATTCTTCACTCTGCTTTATAATGAAGTACTTTCGAAGTTAAGAACTAATAAGTATAAAATACTGAGAATTTGAAAATATTATTATAATTAATTTTTTTCTAATTATTTATTTAGACAAATTTAATAATATATCAGTCAATTATTATTATTAACTTACAGTAGTTAACCTAGTTTGATCTAAAATATTTCACAAATAGTATAGGGATTTTTTATAATCAATAAAAGGAAATAAAATTAAATATTTTATTTAAACCCATACAGATTTAGATTGTTCTTGAGTTTAAATATTAAAATTGTGTGTTAATTCTTAAATTAACTTTTAATTAGTAAAAAACATTAATTTTAGATAGTTGTAACATGTTTTTAAATTGCATACAAATGTAAGTTTTTTTAAAAAAAAATTACATATACAATAAATATTTTTTATCTAATTTCAGAATAGATAAAAATGAAAAATTTTGCTCTTCCAACAAGAAAACTTTTAAACAGATTATTTTAAATAGAATATTGTTTTTTTTTTCCCTTCAAAAAATTACTTCATTTAGTAATACTATTTGTTTAATTAGTACATACTATAAATATGTAAGTAAATTATAAACCAAGAAAAAAGCATTTCGGATTGAATTTTCCACAGGTACTTTTTAAAATTTCAAAATTACTGAAAAACATAATTCTTGATTAATCACTTCAGGACATATGAAAGGAGAAAGTAACATTTCTCTAGACCCACACACTCCAAGTTTATGCATAGAAAAAGAGTACTAATATAAGAGTACCAAATTGAGATCCTATCTGTGTGATGTTGGGCCACTAGAGTCAGAATAATGTAATTTTTCTTCTACTCTCTCTCATTAATTGTATGGCATCTTATAATGATCTCAGTAAAAATCAAAGTGCTTTATTGAGGTTAGAATGTGTTAGCTAAGTAAGAAACATAGTTCTGATATTCATATTTCAGTATATTTGCTTACATTTATTGAATATGTTGCTACATTTTTATCACTGTGAAAATTCATAATTTCATTATGCATTACCAGAGAATTGTTTTGGTTACTTGTCACTTCAAACTCTTGTGTGTTGCAAGTAATAGCTGTTAGATAGTGATGGTCATTTATCTTATCATTTGTGTAATTGAGGTTTAGGCAATGTAAAGAAGGTAGTTTCTATGTAGAATAATAATTTGGTGGTCAAAATTGATTACTAACATATAAATTCTGCTTTTATATCAGTTTCACATTTGTATAAATACATATTTTTATCAAATGTTACAATTGCTATACTATTTTTATATATGTAATCAAAATGGTTATTGAAAAGTGTTTTTTGCTATTTTCATTTGTAAAAATTTTATAAATAAAATTATTTTGTGAATTTAATTTGTATCCATTACTTTGAAAAATTATTTTATTTCATGAAATATTTTAAGCAAGAAATTGAGAAGTGACAATTAAACAAAAACATTTATTTTGCTTCAATTGAATTAGATAATAGAAGCAACACAAATGAAAGATTTAATAAGGTTACTCAATTTCTTCTTGTACACATCACTTTTAAACATACAATTATAGTAGGCATAATAATAATTGTTTAAAATTCAATACCACTAAAATGCATAAACTAAATCTTGTTTATGCATTTTATCTTTTTATTTCCTTGTAACTCTTAAAAATTATTTACAATAATTAACACTTTTTTAAAATTTTAATGTATAAATGGTTTTACAGTCCTTTAAAAGATTTGGAAAAAATCAGCTGAATAGTTCTCAATGAAAAAATTTTACTTTTACCTCAACATTTAAAAATTTTGTATTACATTCAATGATAGAAAATAATAAATAACTAAAAGGGTTTGAGCGATATAAGT